GACCTTAGAAGGCATCAGAATTTCAGAGTCAGGGACGAAGGAAATGGGCCCCTGAAGGTCCTATTTATAGACAGACAAGTCAAACTATAAACATCTGAGATCGGTTGGATCCAACGGTCCTCGAAGACGTGATGGTTCGTATTCCGAGGCRAAATTAGTTTAGTGCATTTTTTACATCCGCTGGACATAATGATTGTGTGACGTCCGCGCGTGCCCTTAATGCAACCTCGTGGCTGAGCCGGACTGGTTGAGCCAATCGGATCCTGAGCCATTGGCGAGACCACGGCCGAAGCCAAAACTCAGGCCAAATCACCTTGGGTTAATACTACTCCCATATCGAGCTGATCATGTCGGACTCGGGAGTGGGGGGCAATTGATGAGGGGTGATTTAGTTCTCCAATAATATCATGACACATGGCACTACAGAATTGTCTGGCATCTCGACACCACACAAGCAGAACTCGGACACCTGGCATCTATCTCAACCTCCTCAGCCCCCACCTCGACAGAATGACCTATGAACAGCTCAGGAGATGTCAGGTCGGCGTGAAGAGGCAACCTGCCTCCGCCGACCTAGCCTGGATCCAATTAGTGACCTGCCCAATGTGATGGGCGACTTCCTTCTTGAGCAGGTTACTGTCGTCGATTCCCCCAGGATCACGATGACACGTCGACGGAGCTGATCTCGTTCTTGCCCACTTCGGACGAGACTTGATAAGCATTATCAGCCTACGCGGAATCCGTCTCCGGGCATGGAACCACCTCTGAATCAGATGGGCCAGAGATCTCGGACACGTTTCGTGGAGCTCACAACAATTAGCCTATATAAAGGCGTCCTCTTCCTCAGAAAAGATACACACGATTTAGCTCTCAAAGTCTACTTGCTTTCTCGCTTCTTAAGCTATTTCACCTGTTTGCTAACTTAAGCATCGGAGTGCCCACCCCGGGTATATACTCTGACACTATTCTTTGCAGCTCGACCAGGCGACCTCATCAGCCCGGCATCCGAGCTGTCCGTCAGCAAGGAACTACCAGACCGCACAACATCAAGGTCCATTTGACCCAATATCTATACATGCTCGCCAGTCCATGTTTTCTCATCTTGCCAAGACAGACTCTTGGACACATGTTGGATTCTGATTCCCATATCCATCTCCATGCAACTCTGCCTTTTAACAGCCTTGTGTTGTTAAAAGGAAAATAAAAATGGCATGATCTCTTTCCATGTGGCCTCCTGATAATTTAGTTTGAAAATTTTGCCTTAGATACTTCTTCAAGATGTCAACYTTTTTTTTTTTTTATCAAATGAGTATAGCCTTTACAATAAACATAACGTTGTATGACTTCACTGTAAGGCCTCCTTTGAGATTAGCTAATTGAAATGCACAAAATAATGGTGCAGGAAGATGGTATTAATTTGTTGACTATTATTAAAGCTACAAGTACATACCGCCGTTCACATCGACATGATTATGTCTCAGATTTTATTCCACCTACTGCAACAGAATTCAAAAAAGCAGTTGATCAAGATAATGTGTGAGTGTTCAATCTCAGCACAGTTACATTTATTCAGTTTTAAATAACAAATAAAAGGTGTTGTGAGATATTTATGCTGTTTAAACATTAATGCAGATTGTTTCATTTGGCTACAAGTTCTGTGATGCTTTCAACCTTGGAAGATGGAAAGATAGTGAGGGGTCTTGCAGGAGTTCCCAATGAAGGTCCTGTTCTACTAATTGGTTATCACATGTTGCTAGGATTAGAACTTCCTCCACTCGTTGAAGCATTCCTGAGGGAGAAGAAAATTATGGTTCGTGGTATGGCTCATCCTGTAGTATTCACAAAGGATTTTGAAACTCTGCAAGGATTCTCCTATTTTGATCATTTGAGACTATTTGGCGCATCACCTGTCTCTGCAAGCAATCTCTTTAAGTTGTTGTCAACAAAATCATATGTTCTTCTTTATCCTGGTGGTGCTCGTGAGGCTCTTCATCGCAAGGTTTTTGTCTTTTTTGCTAAAAAACTGTTTTTCAGTTTCCTGCATTTGCTAAAATTCTTCAAAAATCTGAATGATCATTGTTGTTTTCTGTATGGAAGCCAAATAATTAAATGCTGAGTGTGCCTCTCTGTGCATGTCTATATCTTTCTGTTTTGCTTTTCTTGCCAAGAGAGAAACAGCTAAATGACTGATCGAAAGAAAAAGGTAAATGTGCGTGTCTAGCGGAACAATGGAAGCCCATTGTTCAACTCCTAACAATACTCTTAGATATTTAACAGTCACCTATACATGTGATGATGGTCAACACTGACAAGGTGTCTCACACAGCAAGTCAGCAACTGACCAAAATGTTTCAAGGTGGCACTGCTAAGTAATAGGGGTGTGCCTTGTTGCCTAGGTGGGTGCTTAGGCGTCATCTAGGCAATGGAATTTCTTACATAGAAACCATGAATCTTAGGGTAGTTCCCTAGGTTCCATAGCAAACAGCAACCATCTTTCATTGATAGTTGTCTATAAACTTCATATTAAAACATAGAAAACCAACATGTTTATGACAAGAAAAAGAAGAAAGAAAAGAAAATTCAGAAAATATACGGGCTGAGCCCCTATTTTTGTTTAGGAAAAAGGAAAAGAGGAGTGGAAGGAGAAGATGATGTTGATGATAAAGATAATGATAAAGAATATACGGGCTGAGCCCCTATTTGGGGGTTCAAGACAGCATGCGCCAACATGTCTGTTATTGTACTCTAATAAATAAGAAAATAATAACAAGAAACTAGTATATAAACCCACAAAATGAATATTTTAGTTTAATAATATCTATTTAATTTTTATAATATAAAAGTGTTTCATAGATGCATCTACAAAATACGTAGGCGATAGTGAGGCAACCATCCATTGGGCACCTTGTTGCCTTGACAACAATGAAGAGATGTATGACCAATTAACTTTCACTTGTATAGAATTCTCACGGTGTGTATAATATTTAAAATTTTAAATATAATACCATCCAAAATTATTAAGTTTCAGAAAACCTTTTTGTCACACATGTCTAACTTGTTACTCATTCTTGTCCTGTTAATTTTTTCAGTAAACTTAGCTGAAGTTCTTGGGCATATTATTTGATAATTTCTTGGGGAGTTATGTAGACTGATCTTTTAGTGTGAAAGGGAACATGAAGTAAACATGTATCACTCTCTTTCTATAGGTGGAATGGAAGAAAGAAAAGAACAATAGAATTTACAGTTTAAAAAGTTATGCATTAGTACTAGTTGTAAACTTAGGGTTGCTGTCAAGGAGAATCGAGAAAGCAGAAGCAGTTTAGTAGCCATTTAGAGCATGGTTTTCAAGGTGCCAAGGCGAGGCTAGGCGACAGGGTGCCTTGTCACCTAGTCCCGTAGGCGGTTTAGTAGCCATGGAGAAAGTTATGCATTAGTACAAGTTGCTGTCAAGGAGAAAGCAGAAGCAGTTTAGTAGCCATTTAGATCATAGTTTAGTAGTTCCCTAGGTTCTGTAAACCATATTTCCTTAATAATTATCCATAATTTTCATAAGAAGAATATAAACTTAATGTTAAAGTCTAGAAAATCAACATATTTATGAGAATATAAAGAAAAAAGAAAAGAAAATTCAAAAGATATAGGGGCTGAACCCCTATTTTTGTTATAGAAAAAGAAGAAAAGAAAAGGTGGGAAAAGAACAAAAAGAAGATGTGGAAGAAGAAATGGACAAAATTTAAGTTCTTCCTTACTTATTGGTTCAGGTTTTGAAGTCTTTGAGGGTTCAATACTGCAGTTAGCAATGTTTGTGTTGATTACACCCTAAAAAATAAGAAAATAATAAAAATAAWTTAGTATATAAACACACAAAATGAATACTTCAGTTTAATAATGCCTATTTTATAATTATAATATCAAAAAGGTAAGAATATAGAAGTATTTTATAACAGTATACAATATTGCTTGGCGATTGGGCAAGGTGAKYCTCCAATGGTGCGCTGTTGTCTAGGTGTCACCTTGACAACTATGATTCGGAGTACATTTTGGGCCTCTTGTCTACTACATCTTAGGCTTCTTTCACTGTCCAAAGGAACTAGAAACTCCTAGTAATTTGCAGAAGCATAGAATTTAGTAGCCGTGACATATCCATCATCTTATGCCTCATCTTCATCTGGTTCTAACTCTGACGTTTTACCATTAATGCCACCTTGTTTTCTGAGTTCCAATAGACATTTAGGCTGATTGGGACTATTCAAGATGGTAACATTTAACCTYATAGTTATGATTTGCAGCCCAAGTTGCTCAGTATTGTTACCACAATCCAATGATGCATTTGTGCTTGGAGCAATCCCTGTCACCCCATTGTTAGTTGACATGATTTACATCAATCCTCAATCACCAAAGATACTCCATAGACCTTCTTCACACCCAGGAAAACAAGCCAATAAAAACATCCTTTTCAATGTGTAGACCTGACACTCAGCACTTGAGCAAGGTTCCAAATATTGATACATTCCTATCAAGTGTTTCAGGTGAATGAAAAACCTTTTTTTTTTWATTTTCTTAGTTCTCATACTTTCACAGGGGGGTTGATATTAATGGTATTTAACATATCAAAAATGACTTTTTGAAAATGCCTTAAGAAAGGTGTATCGATGAGCTGTAAGATAGATATAATACACCCTATATGGGGCATATAGTATCAAAATTTTGAACCTTGGAGATACCTCCCAAATCCCAACTGCTCAATATTGACAAAGGTGAAGGAAGATTTAGTGATGCACTTTGATGATTCAAATTTTCATAAAATTTGTTCTTTACAATGATGGAAATCACATTGAGGCTAATGCACCATGCATGTTTTGCACTTACATTGGTGTAAATGACATCAGTTTAGGATTTATTTTGTTTAACGTAGAATTTGGGTTCATTTGTAATTTTTCTTTTCTTAGAGGGGTAATTTTATTTTCATATTTAATAGGGGCTTGGTTGTAGTCTTAGTTTTTTAGGATTCTTGTAATCTAACATTATGTTAGGGTTGTATGTTGTGCTTTGAATTGGAAATATATCAAAACTTTTTCTTCTTCGACTACTTGTCTTCCACCTGTCTCCTTTTTTCTTCTAACAGTTGTTGCATTAGTTTGGTATGAGAACCTTGCTCTGACCATGCCTCTACCCAATGGTCTAATAAGCTGCTCCCAACCTTCATCTTCTCCTGCTGGACAACCAAACCAAAGCAGTTCTTGCCCATGTCTCTCTCTCTCACTTGTCCTTCCTTCACTTCTTCTTCTCTTCTTTTTTCTCTCTATCTGCTTCTTTGCTACAACCTTACCAAACAGTTAACGTCCCAACCCTCCAACCTTCTCTCTTTTGGTCTTCCACTTTCTTTTTTTTTTTTGTTCTCATCCTTGTTCTTTTTCTTCCCTCTCTCTCTCTCTCTCTCTCTCTCTCTCTTTCTTTTCGTCTTTTTTTTTTTATTTTCTACTACTGAACCTAGCCAGTCAGCCATCATCAGCAGTTGACTATCATTCTCTCTTTTCGTTCCCTTCCCTTCTGCCTCTTCTCTTTTCTTCTTCCTTCCCCTCTTTATTTTCTTTTTCTCTTTCCTGTTTTTATAACCAAATAGTTATGGTCAGCACCACCCTTGTCCCCTTGTTCTTCTCTTTCTTTCTCTCTCTTCTTCCTTCTCCCTTTCTATTTCCATGCCACTGCAACCAAGCTTGAATGCCGCAGTCTGCCCTCAACTTTTCTCTCCCCTCCTGTGGTGACTGAACGAACTACGTTAGCCTGTTTCCGACTGCAGTAGCACTGTATAACAGTAGCATCCTCTCTCGATAACTTTATCATCTTCGTCAACAGCACATGTTCACAAGACTTTGGAATGATTTTCTGTAGTTGAGTCAAGAGACATTGGAGGTTGCCAGCCCAAAGGTCCAAGCATTCCATTCTGGCTTGTGTTCCACATAGACATCCCAGTTGAATAGGAAGGTATTTTGGGAAAATTTGAAAGGTATATCTCTTCCATTTGGGTTTTGGATTAGTTCCTTTTATCTGTTGAGTAAGTTGCCATTACTATAAGGTCCTTACTAATCTTGTGTAATGTTTTAAAAGCACATGGTGCAAAAAAAGCACAAGGGGCAATTGGCGCTTGAGGCACAAGGTGCAAGGYGAGAGGCGTGCACCTTTTTGAAGCAAGGCAACAAAATACAAAAAGTGCCAAAAAAATAAAAAAATATGTTAGAAAATTCAAAAAAAATGCCAAAAAATGCAAAAAAAATATAAACTTAAATTTTAAAATAAATGTTTTAAAAAACCTATTATCTAAAATTAAAATACATAAACATAACATGTAAAGCGTATTCAAATGAAAATTAAAAAAAAATCAAACATATAAAACATTTTCAATCATGTAAAATCCACAATCTCTTTTTCCATCAATTGCATTACTTAAAATATCAGCTATCAAAAAACCTATTTCAAGTGTGGAAACAAGAAGTAGCAAAGTCTATAGCAGCATTGTGTAGAGGAATCTTGAAAGGAGCTTTCTGGGGTGATCTTTATTTAGTAGCAATCCTACTAAGTGGTGTGAAGCTAGAAGACATTCCACGAAAGGTAGAGGTACGAACAGAGGGGAGTTTTGTCTCTGTGTGGCTAGCATCCTCCATTGAAGCAGGGCTGTGGAAGGAGGGGAGAAGGAGGAAGAAGAAGCATTACGTGGATTTGTGAGATTGGTTAATTCAAATGGGAAGGAATGTTTCACTAAAAAGGGCCAACAAGTTCTGGGAAGCCAAAAAGCTTTGGGGCAGATGGAAGGTCAAACCTATAGAAAGCAAGAAAAGGCTATGACAAATGGCAGATCTTTTGCGTAGGTGGTGTCAGGGGAAATAGACAAAAATATACCAGTGTCTAAAGGGAGAGGGCTGAACCAGC